TTCTTTTATTTGAGCTGTACGCATGTCCTTTTGGCAGTTGTAGTTTGTGGGTTGGCGACATTAAATGAATGCTCAACCTGATGAGACAAGCAGGGTAATTAAAAACACCTGCGTGGGCTGCAACAAACAAACATGACTAAATATGTGCTTTCTAAAGACAGTGCTGTTTGTAGAGTCATCTTATCCACATTAAGCACAACCCACTAATCAATTACTAATTAACAACATCTGGATATTTAGAAATACCTTTCTCACACACTGTCTCATGCACACACACACACACACACACACACACAAACACACATACGTGAATGCATTAATAGTGACAGGTGCACAAACACATTAATCACTCTGTGGCCCAAAAAGATCTGCTGGGTTTACAGGGCCAGAGACTGAAGAGAGCAGTAGTGACAGAGGCTGTGAGTGTGTGTGGGGTGTGTGTGTGTTGGTGTGTGATGAAAGAGAGAGAGACTGAGTTCACGGTGTGTGTGTGTGTGTGTTTGTGTGCGTGTGCAGGCGTGACAGGGTGCAGAGGAGTCATGGAGGTTGCAGGGGATTTTGTCCACAGTGTGGCTCTGATATATCAGAAGTGCTCAGAGTCAGGGATGTTACATAAACTGGGCTCTCTTCCTCCTTCCTTCAATCTCACACAAACACAGTGTCTCCATCATTTCAAGGGACGGTATTACTGACATTTCACTTCCTGGAGATTTCCCCTCACCTTAATAATAATTACTACTAAACCTGCCCTAAAATTAACCTCGTCCTAACCCTAAATCCTTAAAACTATAGATTATACTGGCTTGCTTGTTGTGCCAAAAAGCGAGGTGATACTTCCACATTCTGTAAATAGGTTCATGCACACACACACACACACACACACACACACACACACACACTGTTCAATTGTTGTCTTCCTACAAATGAACGTCTCAGTGCAAACTAACCGTTCGTCTTCTGGTGTGTGAATCTGTAAATACCATGTTTCTAGCTGCTGTGACATCCCTCCCTCTCTGTCTGCTGCTTGTATTACTGGGTCTGGCTTCTTGGCTCACTAGCCAATGGAGAGAGTGGGGAAGGACAGCTGCATAAGGAAATGAAATACACCTGAGGAAATAGAGCCTCACCCAATTACATCTCTCTCTCAGGTCTCCACCAGCCAGCTTGGTTAAGAGTTTGTCATTTTTTAAAAACCACTTAGCTATTTAAGTTTGCAATAAATTTTACTTGTTTAAGTTTTTGTCACGCATGATTCCCATTTATGTTTTGAAACTCACACCAATTCTTGACACTATTTCCCATAAAAATTATCATCAAATTATTAATATTGTAGAACGCTAAGTAGCCATGAAGTGCACCTGAGCAACATCTATCAATGCAACATCTGAACATTTACGTTTTACTCTTACTTGTTTTCAGCCAGTTACTTCCACATTCAAGAAGAATGCATAAACAAAAAAAGGTCTAAACTGCTGATTCTCTATTTTGTCACACATCGTAGGCCAATACTTGACCTTATTCATCATTAAAGTATGTTTAAATGACCAATTTTGGACACTGTAGAAAATTAAGTCACTGTAAAGTGCATGAGCATTGCACATTTGAACATTTACTTTTTACTCTTCCTGGTTTTTATCCCACAAACAAAGAGGGTCTGACTTGCTTCTGCAATACTACAATTAAATCTAGTCAATAAATACTGATTTTTAAACTTAACTGTTAATCCCATTGCGACAAAGCAAATCTCAAAAGAAAAAAAAGAGTCCCCTGATTCCAGTATTTACAACAAAAGAAAGTTCTGCTTTGTCATGACAACAGCATGTCAATATCTCCTGAATACAGTGACTCATAATCACACACATAATCATCACTGACAGATGTTTTCCTGCTCAAAGTGCGAAGAAAGAGTCACAGCTTTTTCCACATCCACAAAACAACATTTGAGCAATCGGTGAAAACTCTCAAAACATTGCACCACCCAAAAATCAAACTGCAACAATGAATAAATGAGACACTGAATAATAAAACTAACAATTAGTAGTTTTTTTTCTGGGTCGACACTGATTATTAATAATCAAGGAGAATTGATTAACATCTGCATTAAAAGTGAAAGTCTTGGTGTGAAAATTCAGAATGACACAAACTCCAAGACAAAACCTCACTCAAATTGTCTTTATTTATGCTCTATATATGTTTGATTAAAAAGAGATATTTAGACATTTATCCTTCAGCGCTGATCGGCTACTAATTGTCATGCATAATTAATCAAGATCACACAGTGTTGACTAGAGAGGCAGCTGCATCTAGAGCATTTTTAGATTAAAAACTGAACTAACAATGCCAATAATCATCAAAATGCTAAATATCAGATCTGATAAACAGATGATCAGTCGACGTCTACTAAAAGTCATGACAGACATGATTAAATCATTGAATTTTTCATAAATATACAGCACAGCTGACCCCATCTCCCTCCCTTCTCTCCCTGTCAGTGAGAACTAGCAGTCTGTTCATTCCTCCACAAAATGGAGGCTGCCTGGCATCACGCTTGGCAGTCCCAGAGTGCTTGTAGCTTATTAGTTCCCCTGCGTCTCATCACCGCTGCCTGGATGACAAGCACAACAAGCAGAGAGCTGCGAGCATTGTGCACGGACAGCGGCACAATGTCACGTCTTCTTGCCTCGGAATGGATGCCACTGTGTGTGTGTGTGTGTGTGTGTGTGTGTGTGTGTGTGTTTGAAAGCAGAAAAAGTAGACGGGGGTGTATTTGTTTGAGTTTCTGACCGTATGTGCATGTGTGGGTGGGGATGTGGGGATAGCACGTATGTGATTGTGTGCATGTGTGTGTCTTACTAGTGGGTATGTAACCATGTGTGTGTGTGTGTTCAAGAGGGTGAGGTGACCCAGATCTGCTTATTAGCATCAGTGGGAGGGGGGACGGCAGTCACTTAGAGCTTTGTGCCTGAGCAGTGAACTGTGCTCGTGTTTCAGTGACACACCATCATACTGTAACCCGCCCCCTCTCTCCCCAACACACACACACACACACACACACACACACACACACACACACGCTTTCCTTCCTTCATCCCTTTCATCTCCTGTTCCCAAATATCTGCTGTGCTATCCAGGAAAAAAAAAAAAACACACACCCTAACCCAAAAAACATACTTCTGTTATTCGCATGTTCTTGAAATCCAGAGAAAGGCAAAGACAGATGGTAATATTACAGATGCAAACATGAAATTATAAAAAAAGATATTCTGAACATTAGAAATTAAATGTTTCCAAAAGTTTGGGGCAATTTGCCACACTCCCTTGTTATACTTAACAAGAGATTGGAAGAAATCTTAAAGGCATATTTGTGATAATTTTGAATATAATTTGAAAGTTGTTCAGCGTATAATACTGCTTTTAAAAATATGGTTCTGCAGATAAATCTTGCAGCACTGAAGGCCAATGCCAATGCCAATGCAAGCTTTAGTGCAATCTCCACAAGCTATACACTGACCAAAATATGCTAATACATTGTAGGAAAACAGGGCAAAAACAAATGTACTTGGTCACTGAGTTATAGAAACAAGTGGACACAGAGGCTTAGGACAGCTGTTATGTAAAAAATGCTGCTTCCATTTTAATGTACCAGCAATATAGATTGCTTTAAGAAAAAAAAAGAGAATAAAAGCACGCTTGATTTTAAAGCTACAGTGGCAAACTCTGCACCCAGCAGCACTGTCCTGGTTAACTGTCTGTACTGCAATTCATATAACATTCATTCAGGGATGTATCTCTATTGTTTTTTTATAATAGTTTTCAATCTGGGTTCAATTTACCTTTAGAAGATGCAGTTCAGGATACTGAATATCAAAGTTGTGTGAGATCTTACTCCAACACGTCAGTCTGATCTGAATAGAGTCTGACTGGGATGTACAGCTGCTCTCATGTGCAGGTGTCCCACATATCCAGCTGAGGCTTCGCCCGGTCAGCTGAGAGTAACAGGATGGCAGACAGGAAGAAAGCAGGGATCTCAGGGCCTGAGGGAAATCGACTGTTTACATGGTTTCAGTTACCATGTGTATCGTCAAAATAACCGGCTGACCCCAAATTTCAGGTGATGAATGACAGCAATGAAGTGACGGTAGGATTTCTAATATTTATTTTAGCTTGTATGCAGCATGGGAATGGCTCTCTAGGTAAACGTTCAGGTAATTTAATAGCTGCATCACTCCAACAAATTAAAAATTTGTGTGTTTCTTTGGAATTTAAAATCTATTTTTATACCAAGTGTGGCAGCTACAAAGCATGTAGTTTGAACTAAGTGTTCAAATGATAAAGTGGTGACATTTAAACAGGCAAATGATGAATTAACCTTGTAAATGGCTCTGACACAGAAGGATTTTTCACACCGAAGTTTAAAGTTCTTAAAATATTAGGAGATTAAATACATATGATTATTTACCCAATGCCTGTATGTGTGCATTAAATAATAAATAGAATCTAACTGGAAGTTTGTCCACTCAATAATTCACAAATACAAATCTATCTCATCCCACAAACATTATCGATACAAAGTGTAGTATGACCTCTGGTGGTAAAAGGTAGACATACATATTTTTTTAAATCCACTTTTGTTATAAATGTGGTCGGGTATAGATAGAAAGCCTTAGTTGAAGTGTAGACAAGTAGGGGATATGTATAGAAAATTAATATATGACACAAAACATCGAGAGATTTGGTTTGTTACGCTTTTATTTTATTTTATTTTATTTTATTTTACTTTTTAAATAAAGCCCAAACTTGTATTTACTGGACTCGTTTAAATTAGGAGTATTTTTGTTCAAGTGCCACTCGGATTGGGTTTCTTGTACATTTCTCTCTACTTGTTATACTAATCCTGACAGTTTTTGAAATAATAATCGATAATAATAACCTGCTAGGAACCAAAAGTCGCAGGGACCAAGCTTCCACTCGGCTGTATTTTGCAGTGACACGCTTTGAAAATGGCGTCCAAAGAGGGACCGGTCTGTCAAATTTTCTCGTTTCAGGACTCCAAAACTTCCCCCGACCCGATTTTTGAGCTCCCAGCACAATGTTCAACCCCGACACCGGTCCCGATAGTGATAGATAACGGCTCCTTCCAGACCCGGGCCGGCTGGGCAGCTCCCGGGGCCGAGTTCGACTCTCCGCGGCTGCTCTTCAGGTCGGTGGCGGCGCGCAGCAGAGGGGCCGCTCGCAGCGAGACCCAGATAGGGAACGACATCCCGAACCTGGAGCCGCTGCGGTGGCTGCTGAAGAGCCAGTTCGACCGGAACGTGGTGGTCAACTTCGAGATCCAGGAGCTCATCTTCGACTATGTGTTCACACACCTGGGCTTCACCTCAGAGGTCAGTGGTGGACGGTGACTGCTGCATCTCACATCTTATGTTAAAATATTTTTTCCTCCTTCAGCCATTTCAAACGGAGCGAGGTTAGTGTTAGCTGTAAAGCTAGTTCCCCTCCACACAGCAATATGCGCTATTAAGCAAATGATGTGTGTTTAAAAGTGTCTGAAAGTGAAAAAGGTCTCCGAGCATAACAAGTACATGTTATTATTAATACACATTTCAGGATCATTATTATGTTTTATTGTTATTCTAAGAATGTTACCATATATCTTCAAATCCAAGGCTCTCTGTTGCCTCTGTGTAATATTTAAAGTATCAAAGTCAGATCTACATGTCTGCAGCAGCGCTCTGGCTGATGATTATATTTTTTCTCATTCATGTTATTTTTATTTAATCCTATTCAGGACTTTCATGTTGCCATACGTAGAAAGTCCTTCGGAGTCCTTTCAGAAAGAATATGCACAAAATATTTGTTGGTATTCAATACAGACTATTATACTATGTTAAATAAATTTTCTGATAAGTTGATGTATTTTTGGTTGCAAGTGCACGACAAATGTCCCTCTTTTTATATTTAAAACAAATCTTCAAAAATTAAAAAACAATACCTGTCACCTAAACCAGCGGTTCTCAAACTGGGGTTCCCAAGATAATTTCAGGGGGTCGCCAGATCATTGTAAAAAAATAATATAAAGCCTACATTTATCAAATAAATGTGTATCAGGGCTGTCAAAATTAAAGTGTATACTTCTTCCCACTCCTTTGTCAGACTTGTTAATATTCTGATTTGATTATGTGATATTAGTATTCTTTTTTGCAAACTTTTTAAAATCATTTTCTTTTATTTTTGTAGTATTTTTCTCTTTCATTTGTTTGAAATAAATTCAATTAATTCATTCAGTCAAAAGAAAATTAACATGTTAATGTAAAGAGATTAATCTGTGGAATTAACACATTAATTTTTAACGAATGAACAACAAAGTTATTACTCATGCCATATTAAAAATTCAAATTGGGGGTCACAAACACAAACTTATGTTATCTTGGGGCTCATGTCTCAAAAAGTTTGAGAACCACTGACCTAAACCAAATGACCTGAGGTCCAAAAGACCCCAAAAGTCCTGAATAGGGTTAAAACTTTCTATTATTTTTGAATTGGTTGCAAGATATTGGAAACAGAACATACAATGTGATATTTAGCCTTTCTGCCACCCATAGGAATCCATACAGGAATTTTCCCCAGATGTTTTTAAATACCTCTACTAAGGCTTTAAATGAGATATATTTCTCGTGCAGAACAGTCATGGCAAATGAGAACTGTGGAGTTTTCTCTTTATACTAAGCTGCAGAAAGGTTGTAGTGTCATGTGTTTGGGTTGATTTTCAACTCTATCATGCAGAAATGTATGAAAGACACGGAAACCAAAGTACAATCAAGAAGTATACAACATACGTACAGAATGCCTGTAATTATAAAGTAGACGACATTAGTCTTTTTCTTAAAAGGCCAAGGTGGTCTGGACAGAGCAAAAACCCCACGTATATGTGAACAGTGTTTTGTAGAATGTGTGTAACGTGTGTCCTGTTAATGTCCTGTTAATGTAAATCAAGTGGAATGGTTCTGTGGAAAAGAATTTGTCCCCACGGGGACAACAAAGTCTAAATCTGAATCTGAAATCTAATATAGATAGGTAAGATAACTTGATGATATTTTAAAGTTCACCTGCCAAAATGTTTGAGACAATGATAATGAAGAAAACATGTTTAAGAATAAAAAAAATGAAGATGTCTAATTTTACTCTGGAGGAACAATGCTGGGTTTGCTTATTATTTGTTTGACGTTGTTCTCTGTTGATAAAGTACCTGTGCAAAGGCAAAACACTCACTAAGCAAATGTGTTATTGGTGGCATAAAGGCTTTGTGTCTGTCGTTCAATGAGGGAGGACAAATGACGGTAAATAACCATTTTTGGATTACTGTTGTATATGTAAGGAACTTGGGCCCTGTGATAGACTGGTTGCCTGTCCAGGGTGTCCCCTGCCTTCACCCTGAGTCAGCTGGGATAGGCTCCAGCCACCCCGTGACCCTAGTGAGGATTAAGCGGTGTATAGATAATGGATGGATGGATGTAAGGAACTTGTGATGCTACCTGGTAAATAAATCATAATTACGTTCTCACTGCTTTTGCAGGGCAGCGTGGAACACCCCATTGTGCTGACGGAGGCCCCCTGCAACCCACTGCACTGCCGGCAGATGATGTCAGAGTTGCTGTTTGAGTGCTACCGTGTCCCGTATGTCTCCTATGGCGTGGACGGCTTGTACAGTTTCAACCACAATAACTCTCAAAGGGGGCTTCAGCTGCCACACAGTGGCATCATTCTGTCCTCAGGGTACCACAGCTCACACATCCTGCCAGTCGTCAACGGCAGGTAAGGACCAACAGACACAGGGCTTTCAGAGTTCACTTTGTGTAACTGAATCTACTGTCTGTCTGTCTTTCTTGGTTGTTTTCGCTTCCTTCAGTTATTTAGTAGCTTGAATATGTATTTGTATTTTATATTTACTCTTGTGTGTACCTTCACATGAAAGTTAGCTAGTAGCCGGTACGTTGCGTCTCTTCTCCTTTGAGCATAATGTGTGCATTGTTTAGTGCAATCACACACACAAACTTTGCACAGTTGATTGTGCGGTCAGTCTAATACTGATATGACTCTGATTTGAGGTTGGATGCAGTGAACTGTAAGCGAGTGAACGTCGCTGGCAGCCAGGCAGCGTCCTACCTGCAGCGCCTCCTGCAGCTCAAGTACCCAGGTCACCTTGCTGCCATCACTCTCAGCCGCATGGAGGAACTACTGCACGAACACAGTTACACCGCTGTGGATTACCATGAAGGTACAGTATGAGTGTCACTCCAAGCACAAATGCATATACATGGACACACATCTCAAATTATTTCAGTGTACAAACTAAACAATTTGCAGCAGCAGATAAATAGTTTTCTTCATCATAGCTAACTGCACATGGACATGAAGACAATGTAGAGATCATTTCTTCCATATTTTGTTTTCCACAGAGCTGGAAAAGTGGCGCAGTCCAGAGTTCTATGAGCGTGAAGTTCACCGCATCCAACTCCCCTTTTCGGGTAAGGTGCCGGGCGGCTGTGTGAGTGTGGAGGAGAGGCAGGAGAGACGAGCTCAGCAGCTTCGAAGACTTCAGGAGATTAATGCTCGCCGTCGAGAGGAGAAGCTGCAGCAGGACCAAGAGAGGCTGGACAAACTTATGGCAGTGCAGGCAAGGGGCCGATTGTATCACTTAGAGCTCATTGTAATGTCCTTTAGATGTTTTTGATGCTGTTTTACATGAATAAACTTATTCCCATTCAAGACTAACTATAAAAACTAACAAGAATAATGTATCTTATATTTCACTATAAAATACTAATCATTGAGCTCTTTGTGCGTGCAGGAGCTGTTGGAGGACGGCCTGTTGGATCAGTTTCACAAGAGCCTGGTGCAGCTCAACATGGACTCAGCTGAGGAGCTGCAGTCCTACATCAACAAACTGCAGCTCGCTGTAGAGCAGGGCAAACAGAAACTGCTGCACAGTGACGGAGTTGAGGGAAAGACGGAGGTAGGTGTTAGTCCCCCGAAACCTAAGAAACAGAATTAGAAAGTCTGGACTTCCTATTTTGTACGGAGCCTTGGAAGGGACATGGAGAAAGAAGGAAATAGAGGTGTCTTTTGCAAGATCTCGCAAAACTTTCTCGGGAGCCCGCAGTAATTTTTGTGAGATCTCGCAAAACTATAGGTATGTATACTTCTGGGTCTTTTTGGCAGTGTTGGGAAACGACAATAGAGGACACCCACCCATATGAGAGTACTCCTCCATACTACCAAAAAGACCCAGAAGTATATCTACCTGTAGTTTTGCGAGATCCTGAGGAAGTTTTGCAAGATCTCTCAAAAGATAACTCTGTTTTTATTCCCTCTCCTGGTTTTTTTCTTTCTCTGTAATTTTGCCAGTGCTGTTTCCACATTTTCAGGCTTTGTGTCTTTCACAGCATTTGAATAGTTAAAAATTAAAAGATCCCTTTGGTAGCGTGGTAGTTATTGCTAAGAACCGTTATTGTACAGATCACATTTGTTAGTTGTTGGATGCTTTACGTTGAGTTGTGTGAAAAACTTAATTAATGTAATATTTAATGAGGTGTAACTAATCTGTTCCTTTACTTTCTAGTCAAACTAAATCTGCTCGAGCATTTTGTTATTAAAAGCCAGATTACATATAGAACCTCAGAGTTTGATGGTGTTAACACTGTTTCTATGTGTGAACTGTTTTTGACTAAAAGCTGCGTATGTAAATGTTTTAGTTGGCAGCTGCAAAGAGGAAGCTAAGCAGTAAAACTACACCGTATTCCGCATATAAAAAAAATGACAGCAGCTGATCAACTTCGGAGCCACACAGCTGAAGTCAAATTCAAATGATCCAATAATTAATTAGGGGGACATGTCATTACCGTGAATGTGCTGTGGGGCTCTACTGGATCTGTGCTTGTTTTGCTGCAGTGGATGTTACTGCAGCTGACATAAAGCCTGAGGCTGTTCTGTCGCTCTCTGTCAGGTGTCTGAGTTGGAGCAGCCGATGGACGAGGGAGATGGAGTGGCGCTAATGGATTCTGACTTCCCTGAGGACACGCTGCCAGAAAAACCTGCTAATGTGGTTCAGGTAGTGGCGCAGGGATACTGGGACTTCTCAGACAGACTTTTTAGAGCCTCATTAATGCCATGCCTGATGGGGTAATAAGCGATGGAATTTGTAAGAAAACTTTTAGGCCAGTTTTATGTTTTGGTGCTAAACTTTTGCTAATGATGGATTCATGTCACAGAGAAATAACTTTAATCTCGTCTCCAGCCTGTGTTCAACATGGCCGAGTACCACCAGCTGTTTGTGGGGACGGAGCGTCTGCGTTGTCCAGAGATCCTGTTCCAGCCGTCGCTGACCGGAGAGGACCAGATGGGACTGATGGAGACGCTGCAGTACGTCTTGGCCAGGTGATGATACGCTATAACAGACGCACACGAGAATAACAAGCACATATATACAGTACGTCACAAAAGTGAGAACACAAATACAAATATTTTATTTTATGTTTTCATGGGACAACACTGAAGAAATGACACTTTGCTACAATGTGAAGTAGGCAGTGTACAGCTTGTATAACAGTGTAAATGTACTGTCCCCTCAAAAATAACTCGGTACACAGCTAGTCATGTCTAAACCGCTGCCAACAAAAGTGAGTACACCCCTAAGTGAAAATACTGTACATGCATATACAGCAAAATGCATCTAAACACATAACCTCACACTAATTAGACATGAAGACACACAGATCCTCACCTCTCCTGTTTAGCATCATCACAGAAATACTGCATTTTATCCCCTCAACAGCATTTCTTCATATTAGGTTGTTTACTATTAGAAGATGACATCAACTGTAAGGCAATAATGCTTTTTGTTTGTTTGTTTTTTTAACTTCCTTTGCTCCACTAACTCAGGTACACTCCAGAGCAGCAGGAGGCGCTGGTGAGCAACGTGTTTCTGACTGGGGGGAACATGCAGTATCCAGGGATGAAAGAGCGAGTGGAGAGAGAGCTGCTGGCCATGAGGCCCTTTCAGTCAAACTTCAAGGTACAGCCTGCATCCTCTTTAAATCATGACTTAATCCCTGGTTGCCACCTGAATGCACATATTTCAGATGCTGCTCAGTGCTGAATATTGTCAGAAAATCTGATGTTTATTCAGTGACAAAGATTAATATTTCACTGTGAAGGTTTTTCTCCTGACAGTGTTTCTAACTCAGTGCTCAGAGTTAAAGAGGTGAACTGACACATTTTTCTAAAGTTTATAATGGGAGCATACATATAATTTAAACTGTGATTTGATAACTGTTTATACATAAATCAACCCTCTGAGTTTAAGGACGTTTTTTGCACCTGTCCTATTTCTACTCACTGTGTCCTACGTCTCTATGGAAACAGCAATCAAAAATAACATTGAATCGACATGTACAACATTTTTCCAAGTGCCCTGGATGAGTGCAACATTTGTAGTTTTTATTTTACAAAGTATTTTTGGATAATTTTTAAATGAGAGATTTAGAATAACATTATTTTTTAAAAGAAATATCACTTTTTAAAGCATAGATTTAATACAGTTCTCTGATGGAATTGTACATCACTGATTAGTAATTCAGATTTTACAGTTTCTCGCTGGTATAAATGGTGCATTTTGGCATTTGTTAAACAGTGACATGCTTTTCAATCTTGCCAGTGGGTTTTCGTATTCAGAGTGTTAAATCATAAAAAATAAAAAAAATATAGCTGAAGTCATCTACCGGCAACAACATTGGAGATTTAGCTGCAAAGCCAAACACCACAGCGCTGTTGCTTAGAAGCCAAATGAAAAAACAGAGCTCAAGAACTTGAGATGTATTTTATGGATTGGCAGCAA